AGACAAACTGGAACAAATTCACAGCAAGATGAGGAGGATGATGAGAGGTTGACAGAACATAGTCAAGAAGTTCAAAAAAGAGAAACCTAAGGGAGGACATGATCACAGCCTTCCTAGATGTAAAAGACCATTACTGACCTAGCAATAAATTAGTTGTTGTATGCCAGCGGGACAGGAAAGGAAGAAAACCCCATAATTTTCAGTAAAGAGGTTTCAGGTTAGACAGTCTCATGAGAAAGGTATGCATGTCTGGGAGTAAGCTGCCAAAGGATGTTATAGACTCAACCCTCTTCCAAGGTGAAAGAAGAAAAAGAAAATAAAAATAATCTCAAGATAGAAAAATTCTTCCCCTTTGGGAAGAATTCTGGTCTGGGCCCATTCTTAACTGTTCATTAAAAAAACAAGAAAAATAGTAAACACTGTTAAACGCTAAACTACTAAAAAAAATAAAATTATCTGTAACCACTGATGCCTAATTCACAAATCCTGCCTAGCACCAGCTCCCCAAGTATTATCAATCTGTCATTCAAGATGGAATAGTAAAAACAAGAGAGATTTGCAAAAAACTGCCACCAGAAAAAGGCTCATTACTTTGCTTGTTATTCATAAAGATTTGACTGATTGTTGTGAAAATATCTGTGGGTTCTCACAGTTTCCAGACTGTTATCACAACCAATTACTCGTGTGAAATCTGTAGCTAGGATCAAATTAGTCATGAATTTTAGGGGTTTTCTTGGTTCTTTTCTATTTAAAGTGTTTTCTTCATCTTCTCAGAAAACAAACCCACACTTTCTTTCAAATTAGTACATTACCAAAACAGCCATACATAACGGTCTCTCTCCCACCATGTTTTTATCCATCTTTGCTTTAAAACATATACCTGTATTTATTCATTCATTATATAAAAAGTGGTGCTGCAATACCTCTCACCACTAGCACAGTTCTCTTCCCATCCAGCTTTACGTAATGGCTATTTTTTATAAATGTAGTGCAAAGGTAGATATTGGAATCATTTTGCTGGACGTTGTGCAGAGTTATCCTCAGGTTTTTTCCTTCATTTGAATAGTTGACGCGATCAGCTAAAGCGGGAAGGATATATGAAGTGTTCTGCCTGGAAAGATACACCACATTGTTGTATCTAGTCCTCAAGTACGTCCCCTCTTCATTTTCTGACTTTTTCATAGAGCAAATTATGCTAACAGAATCTCCTTCCCAAGCACCGATAAAGTCTGGTGAATGTTCCAGAAATTCATTTTCTTCACCTGAAGAAAATAAAATGCAAATAAAATTGTAGTATCAGAGTTTTTCTTGATTTATAAATATCAAAGTAGCTTGCAAAAATGACTGCTTCTCAGTCAGGAGAATAGCCCTGTAAGCCTGAAACTTAGTCCTGTTATTCTGTATATATAGTCTCCTAGCTGACCTGAGTCCTACAGTGTTTTTGCTTTCATTCCCATTGTCCTGTGCAACTCAACATCTCCCCAGAGCTTAAAAGGCCTATGCAAAAAAAAGGCTTCTGTCAGTCAAGCAAAAAATTTAGTCTGGTCTGTAGTTTCCCAGTATGATCCTATTAGCTCTCAAAAAAAAAGCTTTATGCAACTGAGTCCAGAAATTGGAAATGGCTAAAGATCTAAATCTGGAGTTCAGAGTGATCACAAATGACAGAAAATGGAAGAAAATTACAGTTTTGAAAAAGAAAAAAAAGGTTTTAGCAACATTAGGAAACTGGAAGACACAGTCTGTTAGGAAGCAAGTTGCAGAAGGTATAAATACTCAGTCCATATTAAGACACAAAGGTATAAAAAGGTATAATGAGACCCTCAAAGTCCTTTAATGACCTGAAAATGAGAAGAAACTAAACAGAAAATATAAATGGGATGAATATTAAGGAATAGAGGGATAAAATGGGAAACACCTACAAGAAATTGCAGTATAAGTATGAAAAGAAAAAGGCAATACAGAGCATTGTATATCTTGGAAGAAAAAAGTATAGAAAGGGTTGAATAATTCAGTGTTCACAAAACTGAGTAACATCCTTCCTTACCAGGTTATTTTAAGAAGGTAACAAACGCAGAGGTCAAACACAGAAAGACCAAGTCATGGGAATCAGCAAGCAGCAGTTCAGTCCAACTGGACCAGCCGTGAGGATACTCCTCGTATAACATTAGGGAAGGAGCTAAAGCGAACCCAGAGCGGTCAGCAATTGCCTCCCGAAGGAGCAGAGGAGCAGGGAGAGGAGAAGGCTGGGGAAGCACAGCGCGCTCAGCCTTAACAAGCAGGCGAGAAAAGTCCAGGGACTTCAACCCTGCCACATTAGTACTTCTAAGCTGACCTGCACTTAGGTGATCTAAGGAAGAACCCAACTAGTGGAGGTCTTTTTTTTTTTTTTTTTTTGATCTCCCAACGATCAGAGTAAAACTCAATTATATTTGCAGAAATCAGTAACAAATCCTGAGCAGCCACTCACTAAAGAATGGCAAAAATATTCATAATAAACATTCCCAACAGTTTTCCCAGCATCTACTTCTCAGGCATGCCAATTTGTATATATTATTTGTTTTTCAGGTCACCATCCTTTCCGGGTATTATCAAGGCCAACAGAGATTTGAACTCAAAGGGGAAAAAAGGGCTGACTGGAGGTATGTTTTTCCTCAGACTGCTCTCCTCAGAGATCCCCATTGCTTCCCACAAGCACGTCCCCAGCTTGTCCTCTATCAATAGCTACAACAGACGGATGTTTATAGTGAGGTTTTATTGCATCTACAATAAGTCAGTCCCTAGTAAATATCAATATTTGTTTGTATCCAGCGGTGGGCTCCTCACGTCAACCTTAACAATACAGATAGGCTTCATGTCGAATTACTAGGAAAACTCCTCTTACTATTTCTACAGAGAATAATTTCTGAGTAGGAAAGAATGCTTTTCACATTTTTTTCCTAAAAATTGCAATCTAAAGTTTCAAAGAATGCTTTTCAAAGCTCTACCTGGTTTAGCTAACAGTGATTTTTGCCGGGAACCTGTTTGAGGCAGCAAACTAAAAGAAAAAAAAACAAAAAATGAAAGCTGTGAAATGGAATAGCGGCTCTGCTGTACGTACCATTGTGGCCTGGGAAACACAGGAGAAGCAGAAAGAAGAGAGCTGTAGTTGGGAGAGGTGATCTCCACAGCATTTTCAAAGATCTTTTTAGCTCTAATCCGTCAACGAGGTAAAAGAGAAAAGACCTGAAGAAAGGGTTCGGTGCCAAGAGTTGGCCTGTTTTCTTCCAGCCGCATGAGCTACTCTGCTAGAACATGTTAGCTCCTTGCCCCCAGCAACTCGCTTCTCTTGCCTTACTATCACAGCGAGTGTGTGTAAGGAGGAAGATAGTTATTCTCTCGAGTAGTATATTTTGTTTTTCATTTCACATTTAAAACGCCCACAGTTTCCTACCCCGAACCCTGGAGGCAGAACTAGAAAGTCAGCTCAGAGCATGCAAGAGTCAGCTCTTTAGAGTCAGCTCTTTAGAGTCAGCTGAGGACAAGTAGGTGCAAAACTGCCCTTCCTGGGCCCGAGTCAGGTGACGACCGCCGGATTGTGACCGTGCAGGAAAGGTAGGCTCTCGGCATGCTCCCCACGGTCTGTCAGTGCTCCTGAATTCTGTTGTTAATGGATATAACAACACAGAGCAAAAAATCACTGATTTAAAATAACTGTCAAATTATGTCGTTTAGTGAGTCAAGCTACTTGATGTCTTTAATTTTTGTTCCACAAGCAAATATTTGACTGGATATATTTATTCAAAGATTCATATAAAACACAATTCAATTGCTTAGTGCAAATAACACAGGTCTTTAAAGCTATTTATGACAGTTTTTCCTGAGATGTGGGATGAATGGTTTCTACCTGCAGAACACAATTCAGGAGAAGGGGCAAAGTGAAATAGTCACCAACAACGCCGCAGCGTGACCAGATCTGCATGATACAACAGATATTAAGGCAGGTGTGCCTGTGTGAGCCACACAG